ATTGATTATATAGAATGTAATCTGAGTCTGAGAAAGGCAATTGTTGAAGTACATCATGTATTTGATTTTGTTAGAATCATAGAATCACAGAATGGTTTGTAGGAAGGGACCTTTAAGACCACCTCATTCCAACCCCTGCTATAGGTTAGACCAGGTTGCTCACAGCCCCATCCAGCCTGGCCTTTGAATGCCTTCAGGGAGGGCCATCCAGGGGCAATCCTTGTTCTGATTTCTCTGTTTATAATGATGAAGTCATGAAACTGAATCCTATAGGGTCTGCAATAGGTGGGAGCATCAAGCATGTCTTGTAGATTGGCTGAATATTTCAGGTTATGGGATGGGGAGAAAAATGAAATACAATAAAAACAAAATAATTTGGCCTAGAATTTCAGTGTGTGGGGGGAAAAAAAAATCAACCCCCTATATATTATTCAAATTGTCTTAGTAGTACAGTAAGGAGGTGGCATCTTCAGGGACTGGTGGAGGGTTTCTTGGAGTTCACTTTATCAGAAAATGTATTATTCCATTTTCAGCTCTGAAGAAATACAGTCACAAGTGTTAAAGTTGGAGAACCCTCTCTCCCCAACCTAAGTGTAAATTGTATTAAACCTGAACAGAATTAATAAAGCGTAGCAAGAACTCCATGAGTAAAGATTTCAGGTATTGGTTAGAAGCATATAGACAGCATCAAATGTAAGTAAGCCTGTTTTGGGTGTTTCATGTGGAGCTATTACATTTTGTTCCTCAGTGGGCTTCCATTTGTGTGATGGGCTTCCTATGTAATTTGAAATTTTTTGACAGATCAGCAAATGATTCACAAAAAAAATTATATTTTCTGTGCTGAAAAATTCTTATGGGAGGCTGCTGCTTACTCCATATGTTAGAAGGAATTCACATCTGGAAGGAGGTAACTTTTGTGTGAGGAATGTGACTTCTGCTGTTGCCAGGAATGGTCTTTGGATAATTTTAATCATTCTGAAGTCCTTTTTTGTTATGTAGAAAGACTTCTATGGATTTTATTGAGTAAGCATGGAGATCATGATCTGACAGGAATCTTTGAAATTCCAAAGGTCTGGAATAGAAGACTTATTCTCCTGGCAGTAGGATGAGATTATTGTCATTGTGTTTGAGTTGTCATATACCTGGTGTCTGAAAAGAAGACTTCATTAAGTAGATGTCACTTACTTTTATGATTGCGAAGATAACCTTTCAAAAATGAACAGACCAGAAATAATGCAATCATTTCATCTGAAATCTGCAGATAACCTGAAATAATAATGCATAATAGTACAAAATGCTTCTATGAATCTCTGCAGGATATTAACAGTGAGGCCCAAGGAGAGCAAATTTTATGTAAACATTATTATTTAGTATTAATCAAAGATAGTCAGTTGTGTTTTTAAAATGTACTCAATCTAATGAGACAAATCTCTTTTATAATTAATAAATGCCTGTTACTTCAATATGCATTCAGTAATATATTAAATTTAAAACTACAAGGGCTGCTCTGAAAGTAATGCCTCCTATTTTATTATGTTGGCCCATGACTTCAGAGGAAGAAGTTGGTGATATGGCAGTAGAGGTCAAACCTTTCCACCAATATCCTGTTACATTTTGTTGCTGTGTAACAGATGGCAGCGGAGGGGCAGTGTGAAATAAAATGGCATCTGACATGGAAGTCATCATCTGTTTGTGTATTATAGCATAGAGCTCTACAAAACCAGCTTATGTATGAAACTTGTGTGACCCCCTCTCACAAATACTTGTGAAAGAAAACAGCAACTCATTAAAGAATGAGAGGAGAGAATATGAACTTTTTTTTCTTTTTATCAATCTGAACATAAATTTAGTCCCTTACTTTCTGCTTGGTCTGAAATCCATCTTCAAGCTTCTGAGCAATTATTGCTACTGCATTCCCATGGTACAGATGTATGCAGGAGAGTGAGAACAGATGTCTGATTTGGAAGTCAGGTGTGAATATTCCAACCAGAGGGAGTGTGAGCATTAGTGAAATTTTGAAGACAATGGATGGAAGATGAGGTGCTAAATCTGAGACTGCAGCTGCTGAAGTGAGCTGCTGACCACCAGAGGCCAAGGATTGGGGCATTTCCTACTGGATTGCTGCAGGACCTCTGGGACTTCTATTTCCATTAGCCCAAGTGAAACCCAGGTGTGTCTGGACATATGGATGTCATTTTGTTTATTTTGGGAAGTGTGAAAATAATAGTTTTGAGAATCTTTTATTCTTATTTTTTTCCCCAAAAGTGGTGATATTCTGTGCATCTGCTATGCTTATTCCAGATACCATCAGCTGGTGATGCAGCATCATCAGCTCTTATACCATCCATTCAGACCTCTTTGGTATCCATTACACCAAAGGAGCACAGCTGGGTGCTGGGCTGTAATTTCTCATGCAGCTGGGATCAGATCCATCAGCTTATTTGAAGGTTAAGACTAAGACCTTAGAAGTGAATGAGGCACCAAAATACAGCTTGATGCTCCTGCTGTGCTCTCAGGGCTTAAGCCAGTGAGAAAGACTGAGCATGTCTGTGTTATTTTCACCTTTTGACACAGTTTGAGTAATTTGCAGTAATTTAGTTCAGAAATGACAATGGTACAGCTTCCCCCTGTGATGTCCTTGTGCCACAGAAAGCTGTAATGAGCTTTTGATGAGATGGAGATAAGGAAGACATTTTTTAATGACTACAGTATAGCCTAGACCAATTTCAGAGAGGTACTGAGTGAAGACTAAATTCTTCCACATTTTCCAACACTGAAGTATCTCAGGATGCTAAAGATACACTCCTGGTGTATGGTGAGAAGAAGATGGTAGGACAAAAACTAAAAGCAACTTGATGGATTTCCCTTTTAACTATGTACTGGGAATTTCTGCAATGAGACAGTCACTAAAAATTACTAGGAATAAGTCTGTTGGGAGATGCATGCTTTTAAATGAATACCAGAAAAGATTGTGTGATATTGGAAGTATTTGGCTGTGGGTCTGTTTCCTTGCAAAATGAGAAGCATATTTTGCCTGTGTTTTTCAAACAGCTCCAAATAGATAGTTGAAATCTAAAAGAAGATGAGAGGCAGTGGAAAACAGGAAAATATTTACCTTAGAGTCCAAATTGATATTTAATGATTGTTTCAATATCTTTAATGATAAAAGTATATTTATATGCATAAATGTGCATATGTATGTATACTCATAAGTGCTCCAGAAGGAAATGTTTTGGTTTGTCTTTCCTGGAAGTTTCAGATGTTCTCTGAGTCTTAACACAGGTGATGTATATCCAGATATTAAAGTAGGTATGATAAAACAAAAACAGAATCCAAATACCTGTTATTTAGCTCATTAACAGCTCTTTTCAAAATGTGTGGTTATGAATAAACCATTTACTTTCCCAAGTATGCTCAGCAGGATTTCGGATAAAAAACAATTTGAAAGGTTAAAAAATTAGAATGAATGCACTGCATCTTTGTATGACAGCAAAGATCACTACTATTGGCATGTTCTGTCCTTCTTAATTAAATCATCAACCTGCCTGTACTTTCTGAAGCAGCTCAGTTACAGAAGCTATTTCTCTCTGTTTGTTCTTGTTTAGTTTATTAATTATTGGCCCTGACACTCTGTTCAAGTCACTCTTTCCTCATGATAAAAGTGCATATTAAAAATAAGAGTTTTAAACAAAAATTTGAGAAGATAATACTAATCATGGCAGGTGACCACTGAATAGTTCTGCTATTGAACTTGCCTTCATCCATAAAAGGACTGAAAAAAATAGTATGAGCTGTAATTAAGTTGGTGAGGAAAGTGCAGATACATAGCTTTTCTCCATGGTTCTCAGAGTATTTTTAAATGAGTCCTCTGGTGTTCCTGTGGTATTTTGTACTGATTTTACTTGTTTGCAAAGCTGCTGTGCTATCAGCTGATATGGTTCTATATGAGAACTCCTGATGGCAAGTCTAAAGCAAAATCCCTGCAGAAATGATAGAGTGGTGTCTGGAGGCACCATGGGTGCTGGCATTGATGGGCTAAGAAGGAAGCGGCTTGCTTTTCCTGGTTTTAAGTATATACTTCAGCAATTTGGATATTGTGAATACTTAAGTCAGGTTCCCAAACTGTGGTTTCCCAAAATGTGTTACTCCGACGGGTTTTTCTTTCTTTACTCTAACTGCTGATATGTGCTCTTTTAACATCTTTACCAATGACATCGATGATGGAATCGAGTGCACCCTCAGCAAGTTTGCTGATGGCACCAAGCTGAGTGGTGTGGTTGACACGGTTGAAGGAAGGGATGCCATTCAGAGGGACCTTGACAGGCTTGAAAAGTGGGCCTGGGTGAACCTGATGAGGTTCAACACGGCAAAGTACAGAGTTTTGCACTTGGTCCAGAGGAATCCCAGGCATCCATACAGACTGGAAGTCCTTGAGAGCAGCCCTGTGGAGAAGGACCTGGGGGTCTTGATAGATGAAAACTTAATATGAGCCAGCAGTGTGCCCTTGTGGCTCGGAAGGCAAATGGTATCCTGGGCTCCATCAAAAGAGGGGTGGCCAGCAGGGACAGGGAGGATTGTCCCCCTCTACTCTGCTCTTGTGAGGCCCCACCTGCACAGTTCTTAAACACCTCCATAGATGGTGACTCCACCATCTCTCTTAGCATGATGTAAATCTAGCTGTGGCACAGGCTGCTCAAAGAAAACATAAGAACGAAAAGAATAAAGTACTTCAAGTTTGGACAAGTCATTCTTTATTCACGATCAAGTCAGCCTCACTACCAGCCCACCCTCACGCTGTCGTGACAGGATTTCGGTTACAAACACGCGGTGGCGACAGAAGACCCCGCCCCGCCGGTGGGGGGACCCGTGCCGAGCCCACCCCCCCGCTGGAGGCTCCACCGCCCTCACGGGGGAGGGCAGAGCGCGAGGGGGGTCGGGCCGCTCCCGTTCCCCCTCCCAGCAGCAGGTGGAGGGCTCCACAGGGGCCGGGCGGCTTTTTCTCCCCTCCCTGGTTGTGTCTGAAGGCGAGCAACTCCGCCTCCGTCGGTCTTGGAGGTGCGGATGCCCGTCTCCCCGCTGGGGGCTCGGGGCTCCCCTCGCCATGGCTTTCACCTTCGCTGCTTTCTGCTACATGCTGTCTCTCGTCCTTTGCGCCGCGCTCATCTTCTTCGCCATCTGGCATGTGAGTACCGCGGGGCCGTCCGTTTCGCTTGGAAGCGGTGGTGTTTGTAGGATTCAAAACCCCTCGCTTGGCTGACAGCGAGGGAGAGACGGAATTTCTTCTTATTCAAACTAGAGTAAAGCCGCTGGCTGAGTTTTGTGTAAGCGTGGTAGAGGTAGAAATAGAATTCTCTCCGCGGGGTGATCTTTGAGATCTAATTGCTCTGAGCTGTTAATGGTGCAGTTACGAGGCTTTTCTTATTAACGAAATGACAGAAAATGTGACAGTGATGCTAAGTGCTGCAAGGCTAGAAAGGATCTCTAGCAGTCAGCCTGCTCTCCGCGAGGAAAGGAGTACAATTGATCACTCACTCGTGTGCTCTTCTCTCAGCTTCCTCAAACCATAAGGTTTCCAAAAGTGTGAGTTTATAGATTCTTCAAACTTACTGATATTTAAAAGTGTTTTCCCCACTCAATCACTTGCTGTAAACTAAACCCCTCCATAATTACGAATACATTTTAATTTTCATGTGTTTGAAGTCTGTTATCGTGTTCCAGCAGTTATCTTCTTTCCAGACTGAAGTTGTTGCCTGAAGATGCACAGTCTATCTAGCAAAAGGGGCAAATCATGTCTAAAGGAGTGCTATAAGAAAGAAGGGGATGGATTTTTAGCAGAGCCTATTGTGACAGGACAAGGGGAAATGGTTTCAAACTAAAAGATGGGAGATTTAATTGGATATAAGGAAGAAGGTTTTTACAGTCAGGGTGCTGAGGCACTGGCACAGGTCGCCTTGCCCAGAGACATGATGGATGCTCCATTCCTGGAGACATCCAAGGTCAGCCTGGATGGGGCTCTGGGCACCTGATCTGCTGTAGGTGTCCCTGTTCACTGCAGGACAGTTGGACCAGATGGCCTTTAAGGGTCCCTTCCAACTCAAACGATTCTATGATTCTCCCATAAATCAGTGTAGTTACTTTGAATTCACTCTTGGTGAAATCAACTTTCAATCTGTAAGACTGTGGAGAGCAATCTGTTGTTTCTAGAGGTTCAGAAGAAGCAACTAAGAAAGGAAAGCTTTTGTCAATAGACTCATTTTTAATGTGCTTGTTGAAAAATTACTGAGGGATTGAATTTGAAAATGACCGGGAAACAATGCTGTAATTGAGCAAGAATTGGTACGGTTATAAATAGATAGTTCTATTGAAATGCATGGCTTGTGAAGGTCATAGAACAGACTGAACACATTGCTGGAACAAACTTTTAAACATGACCTCTACATACAATACACAGGAATTTTTATTGTCTTTTCTCTAAGAACTGTTATAACTCAATTTCTTACTTCTTCTGAAATGTAGTCTGATGTATAGCTTAAATTTAGTGTTATAGGAATTTCTTTTACCTTGAACATCTCATTGTGAACATCTTACTGAGAAACAAAGCTCCTGCTCCTTCACTGCAACCCATCTTTTTTTTTACTGTAGTATACTTGTAATGAACAGTTGCTATATTTCAAATACAAGTTTATGAAGGTAGCATTTTCTGCTACCTGATAAAATGCTTTTTAATTATTATTTTTTTAATGCATGGTTCCTAAAAAATAAATTGTTGATTAGTCAGAGCATCTCATCACATTGAATGATTTCCAAGGTTCTAAGACAGAATCTGAGTATGTATCTTGTAGATTACTTTAAAGGACTAAAGCAAATGGAAGCATTTGACTTTGTGTTGTTCCAGCCCAAATCTGACTGAAGTTTGGGCAGTTCTTTGGAATGAAATAATAGTGACTCGAACAGAATTTTTTTTCCTTTCTTCTTGCTTGCTAGTCAGATGACTTATATAAGAACATTCATATCAATGTAGTAAATCCAATAAAAACTGTGAAACCAAAACAGTGTAAAATGAGGATGTTCATTTCTGGAAACTATACTCTTCTGATGCCTTTCTTCTGAATTGAAGTATCTCTTTTTCTTTCCTGTGCTCTTCAGGACAGCCAGAGTGAAGCTGGTCAGAGTATTGGAAGGAGTTGAAAATGAATTGCAGACACTCCTTTAGGCTTTTGGTACACATAATAACATTGTTTCCTACCTTTGAGTGGTAGCTGTTGTCTGTCGAGGAAGAAAACACTAATTTGTTGATGTGAACAGAATTTAAACTATGCACAAGGTTTATGTCCCTAGCTTTTTGTAGTTCTTCATTAAAACACACTGTAATTACCTAATCAGTTATACTCCATTCTGAACTGCTCTGAACCAAGGTTTAGCTGAGCCATGTCAGGTCTTTCTGAACTCCCAGCCAGGTCTGACAGATCACATTTTTTCTGTATAGCTCCATTGATTTCAGTTATGTCTGAATTGAAGTTGACTGGAAGTGATCAAATTGTGGCTTATTTGTTGTCCCTTAATATGTGATATGTTTTTCCAAACTCCCTCAGTGCAATTATTTGGCTAATCTGACTGTAAGACATTCCTTCCCTTTCTACCATATTTTAAGATGAAATTGTGTGCTTTGGGATTTATTTCAAAGAAAGCTTTATAAAAGAACTTTTCAAAGTGTTCTACTATATAGTACCACACAGGAAAAAAATCATAAGTATGATAGATAGGTTAAAAAAATAATTCATGAGATGGACCATCTATTTTCAAGCTCATACCAGCGCGTATCTGAGAATGTGTGATTGCTTGTAACCAGTAGTATTAAGGACTGCCAGAAAAGTTTAGGATTATTATGCCAGTGGAATAATGAATAGGGCTTGCTTGAGCAGTTGTACCAAATCACCCAGGCTTATGGAATATACTTCAATGTAATAGAACAACTGCATGAGGGCAAGAGCAGTGTGTGCTGCAATCAATGATAGTTACTTCACCATAGAATCACTAAGGTTGGAAAAGACCTCAAAGATCATTGTGTTCAACTACCAACCTACCCCACCATGCCTGCTGACCATGTCCTTCAGTGCCACATCTCCGCTGTTCTCGAACACCTCCAAGGAACAGTAACAACACCACCTCCCTGGGCAGCTGTGCCAGTGCCTCACTGCTCTTTCTGAGAAGAAATGTTTCTTAATATCCAACTTGAACCTCCCCTGACAGGACACACATACTGAGTGTGGGTAATAGAACTGAACTCCAAGTACTGTTATTTTAATTTTTTTTTTTTTTACAAATATCCCTAAAACATCTTTGCTTTCCAACTGGAGCTGCTATGTACTTAGAAGATGTTACCAATTCTGTTGTTATACTCTGCCTTCTCCTGCTGATGTGGATTGTGTTTTATTATTATTTATTAGTACTCAATTTGCAGTAGTTTAAGTTAAAATATTTGAAACCTCTCCATGAGATATGTACATGGAATTTGGTGAATATTCAGTTTCTGTCTCACTAGGTTTCCTCAGAAAATTCCTACCCTAATTCTTGATAAATAATCTTAGTTTTGAAGATAAGTAGAAAGTCCTCAAGAGAATCATTTAAAGCTTGGGTTGATAGCAAGTTGAGTTGAACAAGCACTTCGATCTCAAACTGCCTGCTACTCTATCAGTTTTTTGTGCATCAGTGCCTTATTGTTGGATGTGGATTTCTCTTCAGTAAAGGCTGCTGGCCACCTCAATTTAACCTCCTTTAAGAGCCTGCCTTGAAATGAAAGTAGTTTCCTTACAGAATCAGTTGAGCTTGAATATTCTTTCAGCTACTGAAGTTCAGTCCTGTACTTTAATGAGTCATTAACTGAATTTTCTGAGAATATTGGATAATCATGTAATTAAAAATAGAATCAGATGAATGTTTGAGGAGTAGGAACATAAACACTGTTATGTTATCCATATTTCTTGAAGATATTTTTTCTTCTCTGAGTGGCTGAGCACATTGTCCCTAAAGGTTTCGTAGTCATGACAGCTTAAGAAATGTCTGATATTTCCACTCTTTCTGAAGACTGAGCACAGCCAGACTGGGCTGGCTATAACATAGCCTGACAGTTCCCTTACAACTCTTCTCTTGGAAGTTTGTCACATTAATGCTGACAGACAGATATCAGCCTAGGCAACATAGGCAGCTTAACACAATATATTTTATATATTGAAAAATAAATACATTTCAGTGCAGCTACCTTGCTATGCTTAAATAATAATTTTAAAATTTAAAAATGATAGAAGTCTGTCTTCACCACAGACTTAAAAGCTGTAAAAAGATTTAATTGGCTCTCTCTCCATGCTTGAACTGTCATTATGAGATTTATTTGGAGAAAGGTTTTAAACTGTAAATGATTGCCACTGGTTGTATCACAACTCACAGTGACTCCATTATCTACGTACAATAAATTATTCTGTGGAGTCTCATGTGTCCTTCAGAAACATGCAGAGAACTGTTTCAATGATATTTAGTTGTCACATCTTTTTTTTAATCATAAGATTAGCTGGAAAATCTACTTACTAAAAGGATGTTATCTCAAAGCTGGTAAACAGCATATTTGTAGTGCTTTATTTCAGCTGCTCTGCGTGTTAATAAGCAAGGCAACACAGCTGTCATATTGCATTAGTCTGTGAGTACAACTCTCTGATTGAGTCTGAGGCATGAGTTTATAGCTCTTATCTGGTGGATGAATATACAAATATACATAATATGTTAAATCACCTTAAAACCCAATGCTCAGGCTTCTGGCTTCATTGATATGCCTGCTTCCTTTGTCCCTCTCAGGATAAGTGTCCTTCTGTCAAACTGTTTTTCAGGAAGAGAGGGATGCTCAGCTTGAGAATGTAGAGACATCTGTTTGACCCATTCCTCTTCCTCTCTGTCTCCAGCATGGGGTTTATTTATAACTGTTTCTGCTACTGACAGCTAGAGGTGAATCCACCAGGCAATCCAATGGTCTCAGAATATCAAAAGCTAAAGATACTGAGGACTTACCTCTTGCAGGTTTGTGCTTTTGGAAAGATACCAACTTTCTGTGGAAACCAGGTAGCTATCTGATATGAAACAAGTATTGTTACTTTCATTCTGCAAAGAGATAGTCACCTGAAGCCTCAGGACAGA